TAGAAACAGCTGTTTCTAGTGATGGGATTAAAATTTTCAGTGCTGGGGCACCTGCGTGGCTCAGCCAGTTAAGCGTCTGCCTTCAGCTTAGGTCATGATCCCAGGGTCCTGGGATCAAGCCTGGCATCAGGCTCCCTGCTCAGCAAGGAGCCTGCTTCTCCCTTTCCCTCTGCCTGCTGCTCCCCCTGCTTGTTATCTCTCTCTCTCACTGACAAATAAATAAATAAAATCTTTAAAAATAAAATAAAAATTTCAGTGTCTATAGCACATTCTGAGATATTGATTCCAGGCATATATTTAACCATGGGAAATCAACAAAGCTGTTTTCATGCTCTGTTCTACCAATATAGCACAGTGCTCCATAGGTAAAGCTAAAACCACTTGCCATATAGAAATATGTCTTTCCCTTGCCAGTCTCAGTAGCAAAGCAACAACTGGCAAAATGGAAATAAATGTTACAATCTGAGGCTTGGAGTGCATTTCCAAGATCTGATAGTGGCAAAAAGTCTAGGCAAAATAAGGTCCCCCAAACTGCTCTTATTTTAGGAACATGCATACTTTATCTTTGTGTTACTGTTGGGCAAGCAAGCTGGGGTTCACCCTAGGTTTGGCAAGAATGCTCTGGCACTATCTGTCACAGTAAATGATCTGACAAAGATACATCTAACTGCACACAGCTTTTCAGGATGTTTCTCTCTTAATAAACATTTCTAGGAATGAAACAAAATATTCCCTTGCTTAGCATAACCCTCTAAAGGCAGTGATTTAATAATGTTACAATTTAGCTATCAGGGTACAGATGCTTTCTTTGAATGGCTAACTAGGTCATGGCGTTCAGTGGCAGATGTCAGAAATGCTTGCCAGATGACAAAAGACATAACCCTTGGCTGTTTTTATTCCATGTGCATAAGACCTAACTCACACATTAGCAACCTCCCCTGTTTACAGCTTTACTCTAAGGATCTATTAGGAAGGTCCAAGAGATTCCCTTATGTCATTTACACCTTCAGAACTTAAAATAACCTGCGCATATGGTAATATGAGCCTGACAGACACACTCCTGCGCCCATCCTGGCAGAATGGCTGTGAAGCAGTGTCTGGGTTTAAGTGGCATTTGTGCCTGCTGCATTCCAGCACTTGTGATTTGGTAATGCAAACATGTGTGTCAATACCCCATAGCCCTTCTCCTATAAGCACCCTGGAAGGAGCTGTCAATGTGCAGGAGTTATGAGATTATGTCTCCTGGTCTAACTGAACAGACAGGTCTCCCCACACTCCATCCCACCATCCTCAATCCCACTAACCAAACACTCTCCTTTTCTTAATACTGGTTGTGCCTTCCCCTCTGGCTGTGGTCCCTAAGACTTCTCATCACCTCTGCAGATCCTCCTTGTGATGTCCCGTTTCCGGGCCCCACCGCCTCTTCAGATCCCCATCACACCCGCAGACCCTCGTTGCAGGCCCCTCATCACCCCTGTAGCCACTTGTACGGACCCCGTTACCTCCGCTGACTTACACCCTTACCCGCCAGACCCTTCCCATGGCTCCTCATTACCTCTACGGTCTTAGCACTCTTCCCCCGCTCCCTGCTCATGCAGACCTCTCATTACTCCAGAAGACCCTCCCCACGCCCCCATTAGCCACTTGACACACGGAGAACCTCCTTAAGGTGGCGGATTATCTCTGCAGCCTTCACCAAGACCCTCCCCCTAATGCGTGCGGACCTGCTCCAAGTCCCTAGCGCCCTGCAAACGCCCCCTGGGCCACCACCTTCCGGGCAGCCGGCGGGGCCCTCGCCCCCACCCCACCCCACCCCGCCCGCGCCCGCCAGACTCACAGGGCATTCGCGTGAGCACGTTGCGCGGCGCCTTCCTGCTCCGACCCGGACCCCGCCGGCGCGCCCCAGCGGCCCCGTCCCCTTCCTCCTTGGCCACCATGAGGCGACGGAGGCGCTGGATGCGCTCGGGGTCTGGAGCGGGGGCGTCCTGGCGGCGGCGGGTTCTGGCCGAGGGCCCAGCAGCGGCGGCGGGGACCCCCGAGCCCGCGGCCGCGCTCCGCGCCCGCCCGCGCCCGCCGCCCCGGACCCCGGTCCTGAGGAAGCTTTCGTACTCGGCCAGGTTGTTGAAGCAGGGCGCGTTGGGGTAGGGGATGGGCGGCAGGCGGGGCGCATACAGGGCCAGCAGAGGGTCGAAGCTGTCAGAGCTGACATCCAGCCGCGGGCTCGGCGGGCGCGCGGGGCTCCCGGCGCGAGCCGACCTCGCCCCCCGCTCCCGCTCCTCCATGTTTGAAAGGCCCGCAAGCCGAGGCCGATGGGAAGAAGGAGCGGAGCCGCCAGAGGGCGGCACTGCGCAGCCGCGGACTGGGGTTGCACTGCGCCGGCGCGGCCGCCGGAGGGCAGCATCTGTCCGCGCTCAGCCCCGCGGGGCCCTTTACACCGGTTGGATAACAGATTAATCTGTTTGAATGCCGTGTTTCCCCAATTATATCATTATCACTTAGGGTGTTTGTTAATACTCCAGATTCCCCGGGGGTGGATCTTGGAATCGGCATTTTAACAAGCCTCCCTAGGCGTTTCCCTGCTCTCAAACTGCCGTATACTCCCAGCTTGAGCTGGTGGGAAGAGGCTGGAAGAGGGCAGAGTCCCAGTATGCTTTCATGCCAAGCCTCACTGGGGGCGAGCCTACCTGGGCTCAAGTTATTTCGCGTCTTTGGGTCTTTACATTCTCACCTGAAATATGATAGAAATAGTACCTAACCCACCAAATTCTCCTAAGAAATGAAGACATACTGCATGGAGAGCATATAAACGCCCTATGTTAGCTAGTTAGGATTAGACAATGAAGCTATGAAGCAAGGATGGACCCCAGTCCTCCATTTCCTGCACCCGATGCAAAAAGTAATTTGCGCTAATACCAGAGCGACCTTAGTATTAAAGAAAACTCACTGGATTACTGATTTCCTAAAGCACTGCTTAGGCAAGTGGAGGAAACTAGGATCCAGCTCTTGGAAGCCAGGATGATGGAAGATTTAGAAGACTTGGTTGTACCACTTGATATTTTTTAGCTTCTGTTCAGCAAAACATTTTTGCTTTTTGATATTAAAGTAAGAGTCTGTACGGAAGGCCAGGTGTTACTGCCTCATCCAGCACAGCTAAGATGTTTCCAGTTACCTACAAGCCACACAAATCACCTTCCTGCCACACTCTCCTTAACTATGTAGTGTTAATTGTATACTGTTTGTGTTTTAACATTTCCTTAAGCTTTGGAAAGCCCAAGAGAATGCTGTTCTCTACGTTAGAAAGCAAGATGAAAGTTAATATACAACTGTGAAACCCTGGAAAGAATACATGCTGCAACAAAGAAAAGCCATCAAAGGGTGCTCCAGAGAGCACTATGGGTTATGGCAGGGCTATTAAATGCCTATCCGTTTGCTCAAAACTTCCTGCCCAAATAAAAAACAAAGCTGCAAACTGCTGCTAGTTCAATGATTAAGTGCTCACACCCCTATCTTAGGACAAAATTGGGCCTCTGTAGTATCACATAGCATCCACAGAAAGCACATTTCTTCAGGTGGTTTTGTCCTGAAAGTCTGTACTTTAATGCCCATATTTAAATTCATCTATATAGTCGATACCTATGTAGATAAAATCTATATAAAGTTTTGACCTAAAATGCTATCCATTCACTTACCATTAAGTTACATTGGACAGTCAAGAGCTACATTACCTTATTGCCTCATTTGGCCTATCACAGGATACTAAGGGCCATGTTGCCCCAAGTGTCATGTATCATCTACCATAGGCATCACAAGCTTCTTTGGTTAAAAATCCAACTAGCAAACTTTCTATCTTCATAGGGGGAGAGGTGGAGGCTGGAATAGCACTTAAAACAAGCATTCCAGGTAAATTTTTGTATGCAGAAGTCTGTGAACCACTGCTGTGATGAAGGCACATTTATCCTGGCTTATGTGGAAGACACATATATACAAAAGTTGGATTCGTATGAGAAAAGTAAATGAAAAACGAGGCCAAGGGAGTTGAAACCTTTTACTTTTTTTTTTTCTTAAAGAGATTTTATTAATTACCTAACATGCACCAAATCTTTTCCTGTATAATGAGAACAGGAAGGGAAAAAATGATTTGGATAGATGAGGTATCAGTTAGTGAAGACCACCAGCTGTTGCCTTCAAAAATACATTTTCTTCGTGACTGTAAAATGTAGGCTGCCGCTTAATTCCTTTTTGAAAGATTTTATTTGACAGAACAACAGACAGCACAAGCAGGAGGAGCAGCAGAGGGAGAGGGAGAAGCAGACTCCCCACTGAGCAGGGAGCTTGACGTGGGGCTTGATCCCAGAACCCTGAGATCATGACCTGAGCCGAAGGCAGATGCTTAACCAACTGAGCCACTCAGGTGTCCCTTAATTAATTCCTAACGAAGCCAAATAATCTTTCTCTGAAATATGAAACAAGGACAATGGGCAATGTGAGTTCTCTCACCACCTATCCTCACTTCAGAGGGGGACCCCTTGCTTCAGAGGCTAGCAGCTTGGCAACATGCAATTACTGCTGCTCCTCCCCCATCTACAAGGGCCCATCAGGAGCTGGGACTATTAGGTGTCGTTTGACACCTGCCACTTGTGACCCAGTGTTGACTCTACTGTCTTAACTCAAATGTCAGTGTTCTGATTACATAGAGGCTACCTGAGAATCATTTTCAGGAAGTCCAGCAGGAAGGTAAATTTTAGAACTGAAGTATTTACAGGACATGGAGTCAGTGTTTTCTCTTCCTTTTTCATTCATTTTCACATTTTTCCTCATATATACACATAATTCTCTTTCTTCTTAGAAAGAGGTTAGTGGCCGTGGAGATACCCCTGGTGAGACAATGATCATGCTGACAACTCCACAAAATCAATCTATGGAATGTTTACCCAAGGACATCCAAACTACTACTCATTTGTTCAGCCAAAGTTGTCAACTTGATTGCACAAAACCCTGATTCTCCCTGGGAATTCCTGAACTCAGAGGCCAGAATTGCTGAACTCATGCAGCAACCAACCCATTATTTACCTCCAGGTCAGTGTCCGTGGGTAGGAAAGGTGAGATTTTCAAGGTTAGTGGAGTCTGTAGTTAAGAACAGGTGGTTGAGAGTAAAGTTTGGATTCATATTCTATCATAGGTAGAAAAGGCTTGACAAGTTTTTATAAGACTTATGCCACAATCTAAAAATGATTCATTCTGCAAAGCATAAAATAGTTCTTGCTTTATAAAAATAGCACCACGATTTAAAAAAAAAAAAAAATGCACTTCTACAGAAGGAACCATGTTCCAACATTGTAAGAAAATGTTCTACTTAAAGCAGAACAAGATAACCACCCCATCCATCCCTTCTTTCCTGTTCCCTCTCAGAGCAGTCATGTGTCACTCCCGGCACACTGTTCTCAGTAGTAGGGATCCTAGGGCACCTAAGGCCAGGAGACTTGGGGGGTGGGAAAGAGCAGGTCTTGTATGGTTATGCATGCCAGGGCTAAAAGCAAAGGATCAGCTGTCTTCGTCTAGGATCTCTGGATGTTCCTTCCAAAAAGCATCCCCAATTATATCACAATATAGAGGCACTGGCTTTGTCCTGGTCCGGGTCACCGCCATCTTTTTTCCTTCCATTTCTGCTGGCAGTTTAACTTCTTTTGTTGTGACTTCACCCACCTACAGGGAAAAGTTAAAATACTTACATTGTTAACTGGGTTTGGGAGAGAAGAGGGGGATATGAGGGAAGTTTAGTTTTTTACTTTTTATATTTCTGAGTAATATATATTTATCAAGTAGATATACAGATACACATATCTCAACATTTATGAATTTGCTTATAGTTAAAAACTTTTTAAAAAAGTTATGTTGCTATATTTCCAAACAAGATCTTAGGAACAAAGGAGTGATTCCATGTTCCTTATCAGCAGTAACTACAGAATTAAAGGTAATTCTGCTCTCTCAACTGCATTAAGAAGTATCCAAGCCTGTGCTAAAGAGCAAATGTGCTTTAAAAATACTAATAAGCTAAGGCTGCCAATGGGCTGACTAATTCTTAAGGCACCACTTAACACCTGGAAACACTCATTAAGAAGAAAAACTACTTTACATGGAAGGAGATAAATTCAGAGAAATCATGCTCAGAAGCTGCTATGGAGGGAAAATATTGAAAATTAAGAATTTAGGTATATGTACAGACTTATTACAGAATATTAGGGTAAGTATGAATATCTGGGGAATCTCCAGAATATTCTGCAAGTAACAGAACCCTCATATACAAGACCTACTGCCTCATATTATAGTTGTCATGGGATGGATGGACTATTTAATGGTATTATCCAGTGTGGAAGAAATGTTCTATGAATGCAAAAATCTTTCTATCTGCAGTGTACCCTTTATAGGGTTTTATTTGATTTGGAGAGCTTAGGACACAGAAAACTAAGTGTACTAATTCTAAAATTGGTGATGCCACTTAGAGAAGAAATTCTAAACCATAAAGAACACTAACTAGCAAAATTAGCACTGACAAAAAAGAAGCATCCGAAATAATATACAGCATTTCATTTTTAAAAAGATCTAATTCATGTTAGTGACTATAATCACATCTGCATACATGTAGTAGGCAAGACAAAGCTTGGGATGGGCACAGGCTTTTGTCTTTCTGACCTCCATTTTTCTTTGGGCACAACAGCATTACCTTCTGCCATATCAACACAGTCCCTTTCCTATACATCAGTGGCTCATTATTGTAGTTGATGTTGAATTCGGAAAACAAAATCTCATTCTTGTCTGCTGCAAGAGTTCCCTGAGAAAAATAAAAAGATAAAAACAGACTTTTATGTCTGCTCTCTGCCATAATCATACCTACCCATTCCACCCTCTATCTAAATTTCCACAAACAAATCAAAAAGTGGAAGGGTTTTATCAAACCTCTGACAGATATTAATGAATGTGCATTGTGAGAGCAGCTTAAATCTTATTTAGATGTATAAATTCAAAGAATTGTCTTCTATAACAAACGATTGGCTTCAGAAGTCACAACTGTGATAGGGTGACAGGAACTAGCAATAAGAGGATCTGTTCTGTACTACATACATCGTTAACGCTATCTTATTTGATCCTCATTGACGTCTCCACTTGAGAGAACGTAACTCTGTAGCTTAGAAAGATTATATAAATTGCCTAAAGCTAAAGACTGCTTTTATTCTTCCAAGAAAAATCAAAATCTAAACTCGGCTCTTTCAAGCTCTGGATAAATCTACCAGTATTCCTATTAATGGTATCTGCAAATCCTCATCATCGTTAATGACAACCATTTATCATGTAATTACAACATATCAGGCACTGTGTTAGGAGCCGTTACAATAAATCACCTCATTGCAGAGTTAGTCATCCTACAAGTAGTGCTGTCATCTAATGATGACAGCCAGTGTTTTATTAAGTACTTACAATGTGCTTTGTACTATGCTATGTGTTTTACATGCATCATGCCACTTAATTATCACCATAAACCTACGAGGTGAGAACTATTATTTCCTATGTTTCAGTTATAAAGAACTAAGGCAGCACCTGGGTGGCTCAGCACCTGGGTGGCTCAGCTGGTTAAGTGTCTGACTCTCAATTTTGTCCAAGTCATGATCTCAGGGTCCTGGGACTGAGCCTCACATCAGGCTCCCTGCTCATCAAGGAGTCTGCTCAAGATTCTGTCTGCCCCTCACCCTGTTTGCTCACACTTTCACTCTTTCACAAATAAATGTATCTTTTTAAAAAAGAAAAATTAAAGAAAAAAAATAAAGAACTAAGGTAGAGAAGATAAAATTAAACAGAAGTCCCTGAGTACAATTAGTTGACTCCCAGAGCCTATACTCTTACCAATACACACACCCAGCAGGGAATGGCCATGATGAAGAGGCCAAGTGGGACTGATGAAAAAGAAGAGCACATGCCCCGTCTAAAGAAGGCAACCAATATGTAGCACCAGCCAAGCATTACCATGTGGGAAGGTAGAACCAGTGTCACTAATTCCATTTTCCAGCTGAGGACACTAAGTCCCAGGGAAAAGTGGTAACTCACTCACAGTCACAGAGCAAGCAAGCCGCAGAGCTGCTACTAGTATGATTTTTATATCCTCTCAAAACAAAGCAGTAAAGAGAGCTTTAGAAGAATGCAAAATGCCATGGAAGAGCAGAGAAAACAGCCCCAAGGTTAAATATTAATGCAGTAAGATCTTATACCTGTAATCTCTCTTGGGCTTGTACTGGTGTTAGTCCAGACTGTTGTACAAGTGCCCAGAAAACCGTATTATACAGATTATTGATGTGACCTGTAAGAGAAGAGTAGCACTGTTTATACCTAATCTTCATTCAATATTCACACTTCAAAGAATATTAGAACTTCACCTCTCTCCTCCAAAGAAGAGAGATCCCAGAGACATTTAGTGATATGCCAAGAACCATACACTGGGAACACAGGGGGGAAGTGGTCAAGTATAAACTTATTTCCTAAAAAGTTCTACTCTGTCATTTCAGTTATGCATTATATGAACTGCTTAACTTGAAAATTACACTTAAGAATACTTTCAAAGTTACTTGATTTAGATTATTCCTTGCTCTTTTCCAGTTCTTCTGGCAAAATCAAGATATACAAAATGAGTTAAGTCTCACAAACGTGTCACCACAGTCATGTAAGGCAGCGGTCACAACTCAAATCACCCACTGAGGCCACCTTGAATATAAAAGCACAAAGCAGAATAGGTGACCCCTGGGGGAATAAGAGAGAATGGTAGAGACTATGGCACCTTGCGCACACGTGCGTGTGTTGTGTGTTAAGACAGCAGTCACTGCCCTGTACAGGTTATGTCCAATACTAAGTTGGAATGATGTCCTAGTATTGCCAGGTCTTCTGATTTTCCCCAAAAAACTTGGAAAAAAGGAAGTATTTACATAAATTTCCCAATAGTTTGATTGTTTTCAACTAATTAAAAAAAAAAACTGAAATACTGCATTCTGAACAAAATATACATGCACCAAAACTGGACGAAATCACCACTTCTAATGTATGGAATTGGTGGTTTTAACTACCTCCGTTTATTTGGTTTTACTTACAATCTGCTTGCCGCCAACTGAGGTAGTCCTTTAAGGTCTGGTTGCTAGGATACACTATGACTCTTCCATCAAAGCCTGGGGGATACAGAAGGGGCTGATCCTCAAAGTAATCTCGCCAATAAAACACATAGCTGGAGGCGAACTGGGAAGCCACGTGAGTCATGAACTTACTTGCAAAAGTAAGGCACATTGGGTGGAGCAAGAAGAGAAAATACAAGATATTAATTCAAAACCATGATAAGGGCCTGTGGGTGCAACAGGGTGATTACACAAACTACTCAGCACGCCAAAACATAAAATGTGTTGGGCCAAGAAAAACTAAGCAGCCCACCTCTCTCCAGTCCTATCAGTAACTTACTAATACCAAATTTTTCTCTGTAGGATGTGATGTGAATTTATGGTTCAAGAGGGTTTTTGTTTTAGTCTTGGAAGGAAGGGAACCACTGTTTTAAAAACATGCCAATTCGCTATATGCTTTGTTTTCAGTGAAAGTTTCAATATATCTGCCAAATGAAATATCTAATTTGTCTATTTTGAGACCCTCCTTAACTAAAAATTTGAGCAATACTGTAACGCACATATAGGCTGTCACTAGCTAGATCAAACCTATGAATCATTAAAATTATAATCTTCTAATGGCCTCTGTTTCTAGTCTTAATATTTAAGTGCCAGATCTATCTAGAAGCTACGGTGATGAAGAATGGAGGGGAATCAGATTGAGAGGCATATGATTGTTCAAATACCAGACGAAAGTACAATAGTCTAAACAGAAAACAGACATTCTGCAGTTGCAAACACTGCAGACTCTATCTGTAGTCTCTACGTCAGCAATAAAAAAGAGCAAAACCAAACGCTGGTAAGAAATATTCTGAAGGAGCTAGGCCGCGGAATTACCTGGCTCTTCTTTTAAACCAATTGCTTTTGCGCTTGAACACAAAGCTGTACTCATCGCTCTGTCCATATGCAATCACGATATCCTCCAGTTCTTTCATTACAGTCTGGGCACATTTGGTCATTAGGTGGAGAGCACGGCTGTCATTGGGTTTTGCAAAGTTGTGCTTCTCAGCAAACCTTCATAGACGAAAGAGAAGAGAGAAAAGGGCATGAGCGGAAGAGAGCTTGTCATTACCACCAGATATCAAAAAGATGGCACAGAGAGGGAGATACGTACTAGTTCTGAGTCTACTAGCCACAACCTGACTCATTCCCTTAAGAACTCTAGACTTTCCCTGCCCTGAGGAAAAGGGGCCTAACTTCTAAGTCTCCATTCCCTTTTCTGTGAAATGGAGATAAAGCATCCTTACTTCATAGGGCTGTTCTGAAGAGTAGAGAGAGATAAAAATGTAACTATGCCTGGCTCCTTGGAAGTGCTCCATAAATGTTAGTTATAATAACCATTATGAAAATAACACTTTCAAGAATTAAATTTCCTTATTTTTGTGACACATCTCCCTTTCTTTCTGACTTGTTTCTTCTTGAGTCCAGTCACTAATAATAATGAAACAAAAACATACTGTAAAGTGTTGTCCACAGCAAGACCTCAACAGGCCTCTAAACGGCCCTCAAAAACAGCTAACGAAATAGCCATGCACTTGGCTGAAGAGCTCAAATACTGCACCAGGGAGTGACTTTTCCCATCAAGATTTTGCTAACAGGTCTCTGCTCACCGGCACCGCAGGCCAGCGGCTCACCATGAGCGCACTCGGCCTCAGTCTCACTACTCAAACCACCTCGCGTTCAGGCACGTCGCAGCCAGCACGTCGGGCGATGCTCAATGCCGCGCGCTCATTGGCTGTCGCGTCTCCCGGTAACCAGGCGCCGCAAAGAAGAGCGGCATTTGAGTCCCAGGAAGCCCGGGCGCACCATGTGGCCGCGAGCCGAAATCGCTCACCGGTGGAAATTCCTGCCGTCCAGCCGCACCACCACCCAGCAGTGGGCCAGGCAGGTGTCGTCAGCCTCGAAGTTCCGCACGTACTCGAATTTGCTCTTTGCCATGGTGGCCCCCAACTTCAAACACCGTCTCAGAGTGACGGAAGTCGCGGCCCAGCAATAGCAAACTTTCACGTTGCAAGACGCCCACATTCGCCCCGCGGAAGGTGAAGGACCAACGGGGCCCCGCCCCGGAAGTTCCGATGTCTCTTAGTGCCGCTCTAGCCGTGGTGGAGGCCGGCATCTCTCTCCACTCTCCTTGTAGTCCTTGATTCACTTCCGAGCGTAGGAGGAGGATTCCATTCTGTCCTTCGCTCTATGCACGGTTTTTCGTTTTTCTCCTCCCGTCGTGTCAGTCTACGAAGTCGTAAAAAAATAACTTTCTGACCAAGTTTGAAGATTCAATTGTGTTTTTTTCTTCCGAAATAACATTTATTAACTTGGAGAAAATGTGTACTATAACGAAAAATATAAGAAAATACTTCCTATCACCCCTCTCTCTTCCAACCATTGTGGATGGTTCCTTCCCGTCTCTTTTCTCTTTGTATATCTCTGTGTTCACACGGGGAACACATTAAATTGTACTCCTACATATATATAGTTTGTATATTTTTCCACTTCACCACTTTCCAATGTTATTAAATATTTTAAAGGGTGATTTTTAAAAGGAAAATAGACTCTTATTCGAATGCATGGACATACTAAATTAATTTACTCAACTTTTTCCAAACACCCAATTTTTTATTTTTGTTGGTAGATGATAGTAACATTAAACCTTTCTTATTTTAATGATGCTTTATGATTTATAAAGCTCTTTTGAATTCGGTACCTACTTACATTATTCTTGCTACCCTCACGAAAATTATTCAAATAATATAAAAGAATGGTGAAAAGTCTCTCACTGACTCCTAATTCAGTACTTCAGACAACTGCTGTTACTAGTTACTTGTATATCCATCCACGGATAGAGACGAACATGGATCTACATGTACGTCTGTATCTCTCAAACTACCTCAAAGCAACAGGAAGGAAGGATGGAATGTCGTAGATTTATGCCCTGGCTCTGCCACTTATTATGTGACCTAACATAAGTTACTTTTCTCTCAGATCCCTTTGCTAAGTGGAGAAACCAATTCCTCTCTTGCTTCCCTCTGAAGTTATTGTGAGCATCGAAGGACTTCATAGCTGCCATTTGTGGTAGGGACACACACACACACACACACACACACACTGATAAAATAATATTCCAAGGTGACGTCAATTTGGAACCAAGATCAGGAAGTTCTTAGAGGAAACACACCAAAAGGAAATAACCACACAAATTCATAATGTGGAATCTTCTATATAATTACTGATCTGACTTCTTAAAAAGATAAATTTCCTGAAGTATAAAAAAAAGTGAAATGAAAAAAGGATGGGAAAAGGTAGGACACTGTTCCAGAATAAAAGGTATTTTAAGAGACATAAAAACCAAATACAATGTGAAAATCTGGAATGCATACTGGCCCCCAAAATATTAAAAATAGCTCTAAATTCACCAGGAAAACCTGCAATTACAAACAGCTCTAAATTTCGGTGGCTTACCAAACAAATATTTATTCCTTACTCAATCATTCCCAGGCTCCTGGCTGGCTACTGCCCTGCTCCAGGTAGATGTTCTGATCTATGTGTCTTCTCATTCCAAACCCCTGGCAGTGATTGGAAAGGCTTCTGCACCGTAGGATACATCTTGCTGCTCACATTATGTTTGCTAAAACAGTATTACAATATAGTCACCTGCGAAGATTATGGGACAGAGATGTATTATCTTCCCAAAGGGAAGGGGAAAGTGAATAATTTTGAACAATAATGCAATCTACTGCAACTGTTGATTAGTTGATAATAGGGAGTTATTGTTAATTTGGCACAACAATAGCAGTGTGGTTAGGAAGAAGAATAACTTCAATCTTGCTGGAATATGAAGAAAAAGTGGCAAAATACTAACAATTACTGAATCTAGTGAGGGTCAAATAGGTATTTATTATTTTTCCAATTTTCCTATATGTTACGTGTTGTCACCCATAAAGATATGTTTAAGTCCTAAAAGATATGTTTAAGTTATGTGTTGTCACCCATAAAGATATGTTTAAAAATATGGGTATTTATTATTTTTCCAATTTTTTATATGTTATGTGTTGTCACCCAAAAAGATATGTTTAACCCAAGATATAGTGAATGTAACTTTATTTGGAAATAGGGTCTTTGCAGATGTAATCAATAAAGATAAAGCTATTAGTGTGGGCCTTAATCTAATATGACTAGTGTCTATGTGAATAGAAAAAACAGAAACACACAGAGGAAGAGCACCATGTGGAGAAAGAGACAGAGATTTGAGAGATGCATCTACAAGCCAGGAAAGGCCAAGGATTGTCAGCCATCACCAGAAGCTAGGAGAGCAGCATGGAAATAGGTATTATCATTATTACCACTTTACAAATGTGGAGATTGAGTAGAGAGAGGTTAAGTAACTTGCCTAAGATCATAGAACCAACAGGTGATGATTCGAGAATTCCAAACCAGGCATTTTAACTACAGAGCTTATGCTCTTAGCTACTCCTCACTACTGCTTCCTCTTCTCTCTGTCTCCGTTTTTATTCACCAGCTATTCAATAGTTTCTGTCTGTGCCAATTATTGATTACTTCACTGAATTCTCAAATCATAAAGGTACATGGGTCATCCAATCCCTTAATTCTCAAACATAATTTATTCATACATGGCCTTTGTGAATTTTGTCATTTGAATATGCTGCCTTATTTTAAAACAATTTTTCTTTATGTCAACTCTCTTCTTTTTAAATCTTTTTATTGGAAAAAATATTTTATTGAAAATGCGCATACACATGGAAAAGTACACAAAACACCATGTAACCAGTACCCACTTGAGAAAGAGAACATTGTCAGTTCCCAGGAGTCTATTTCAATTATTACTCCCTCTCCTTTCTAGAGGTAATGCCTTCTTAATATCTATAACTTAGTTATGTTCATTTTTTTAAAGTAATCTCTACACCCAGTTGGGGCTTGACCTCATGACCCCAGGATGCAGAGTTGCATGCTCTACCACCTGAGCCAGCCAGGCACCCCAGTTATGTTCGTTTTTAACCTTTATATAAATGAAATCTTGCAGTACATATTCTTCAGCATGTGGTCTCTTTGGATCAACATTATGTTTGGGAGATTCAACCAAATTGGAGTGTAACTGTAGTTCATTTTTCCTCATTCTTCTGTAGTATTCCATTGTATAACCATACCAGTTTATCCACTGTATCGTTGAAGAGACATTTGCGTTGCTTCCATTTTGGGGGTGATAATGAAAAATGCTACTTTGAACATTCTTGTACTTGTCTTTTTGTGTACATGTGCCTGAATTGGATATATACTTAAGACTAGAATTTCTGTATCCTGGAGAATCCATCTGTTCATTTTTTATCTTTAATGTTATACTTTTTCCCAAAGTGTTTTTACCAATTTACGTTCCTCAAAACAATATGTGAGTTTCTCCATATTCTCCCTAACACTTGATGTTGTTAGTTTTTTAAAAAATTATGCTGCATCACTCTGACTTGTATATAGTAAATCTTTTGTGTATTACATTTCCATGATGATTAACAATGTTTAACATCTTTTATATTTATTAGCCACTTGGACACCCTTTATTGTGAAGTATGTGTTCAAGTCTCTCGCACATTTTTTCACTCACTATTTAATACTTTGGTGAATTTATTTGAAAGAGAAACTATGTCTTTGTCATAAGTGGAGAATTAGTATCACATGCCAATAATAGAGGGTGATAATACATTAAGATAAATGCAATTCCAGTATAATGCTCATGCTTTGTGATAAGAATTTGTTTTCTTTTTCATTCTGCCAACAAGGAAAAGGAAATACTGAACATTACCAGGTATCCTCAAAGTCATTCAAAAAGTCAGCTGCAGAACCTGATCTGGCTCAGAGCAACCTTCCCCTTCCAATGACATAAAAACCTGGAAGAGAAGGGGCAGGTCAAAAGCCATAACAACTTTCCCGAGATCTCCCCCAGGTTTATCAGTTAATACCAGGGGCCATTCATTAAATACTAGCAACTTTACATTGTACTATACTAGCAATATTACATTGACTATCTCATTTATTCTGCACAGTTGCTCATTGAGGTTGGGTTTTCCAATGTTGGTGTGTGTATACTATCCTTGATAGCTGCATTATCTGTTTCAGAAAGGAAGAAGAAAGGGGAAGAAAGCAAAGCTCACACCTCCAAACCAAATCATCTCTCTTTATCAGGTTTTTGCTGAAGCTGCACAACTTTTACATATGTATTTTGAGCCTTCCTTCCTCCTTAACTGCAAGGGAGCCTGGGAAATGTAGTTTTTTAGCTGGGCACTTGGCCATTCCAGTAAAATAGAATATTTCCTCCCTCCTCCCTCATTCCCCTCTCTCCCTCCCTTCCATCCTTCCTTCCCTCTCCCTCCCTCCCTTCCTTCCTTCCTTCCAAAAGAAGGGAGGGTACCTGCGTGACTCAGATAAACGTCCAACTCTTGATTTCAGCTCAGGTCATGATCTCAGGGTCCTGGGACCAAGCCCTGTATCAGGCTCCCCATTCCAGGGTGTGGGCTTCAGGATTCTCTCCCTCTTCTTCTGCCCCTCCCCTCACTTGAAATTGTGCATGTTAATGCTCTATCAATTAATCAATCGATTAATCTTAGAAAAGGAAGAAAAATAAAGAAAGAAAGAGAGAGAGAGAAAAAGAGAGAGAAAGAAAGAAAGAAAGAAAGAAAGAAAGAAAGAAAGAAAGAAAGAAAGAAAGATGCTATTGCATGGGTAACTGGAAGTTTCTGCCACAAAAGACAACAAGAGTTATAAAGGGCAGCCTATCAGGCCCTGTACCCTGAACTCTAACACCCAGCCTGCTCTTCCCACCACCTTCAGTCAGTCTATAAAAAAAGAAGTTAGAGAAGGAAAAGAAGAGATAGAGGTTTGATTGGAAATTCCAGGGGAAGATGTTACTTTCTTCCCTCCCCATACTGCCCTCTACCACCGGCCTTGGGTTCCCCAACTCCCCACCCCCAGAACAGGTAGTAGCAGGATGGGGGAGGCTTCAAAGGCAGGCAAGAAGGGAGGACTACTTCCTTACTTACCAGCTGGGGACCTGCAGAGTTTTTCT